CAACCCCGACAGATTTACCAGCTGGAGCTATCAGCTACCTGTTTAGTCTATGGCCGAATCTCTGAATTGGCTGAATCTTTTCCAAAGCTTTTCCGAATCAATTTGGATGCTTTGAATCAATTCGGAGCTTTTAATTGGTCTCCTGATTCAATTCAGATTCGGTCCCTGAATTGGGCCAAATCGCTTCCAAATTGAATTGGCTACCAAATCTTTGTACTGCCCTACTGAGCATTAAAACCATGATATTCCATGATGGCAACAATCGGTATAGGGGTGCCCATTTTGTTTTAGCTTCTTAGTGTCCTTGTTCACCTTCACATAGTACCTCTGAAGGATTAGCATCAAACAGAAGAAATGATCATATATGAACTGTGACACTCTGATTTGTACTCTGTTCTTAAGTACAGCATTCTGAAGGCCATATTTGAAGGTGCATGCATTGGAAGGAGTCTAAGCTGATGTAACCCATGTCATACAGCTCCCTCTCCTTAGGTTGGTGTGATTTCTGCAGGGAGGAGTGTGAGGTTCCAAAAACTGAGCAGGTAACAGCATCTTAAAAAGTTCTTCAGATGCCTTTCTGAATTTGGTTCAGAATATTTGTGACCATGTGTACATATCATGTTTAATTAACTGCATTTCCTCTTGGAGGACAGCAGTAATTCAAGCTTGTGACTCCAATCTGTTGGAATTGTCTGAAGGAGCATACCTGCATAATTAATTCCTGGTTCCCCTGGATATGCTTGTTATCCAGCCAATCCTGCCTACATTTTGTGGGTAATAATGTTACCCTGTAAGGCCAGAACTTATTTATACTACTACAGATTCCAGCACGCTGAACTTTACATGACTGAAGTTCTTCACAAATCTGGGAGGAAGCTGGTCCTGTGTTGTCACACTAGGCAGGTGTCTGCATTTCAGCTGTGAGTCAAATGCTATTTGCATTTATAAAGTTTTATACAGTATTCTGGGACCCTGTGAGTTGAAAAACCACAAAATACATTTTGGTTATTATTATGAATAGCATTAAGTGTAGGAAATAGATTCAACCTCTAGATGCCCATTTCTTTGTGCATATATTCCAGTTATACAGAACAGATGTGTACCCTGGAAGATCAGCAGTCTAGTAGCCAAACCAATTTTAGTCTAATCCTACTGAGTGATTATATATTGTTAACTGGGGACTCCGGAAATGAAAAGGTTACAGTTACATACCCCCTATTTATAGTCTCATGCAGTTTTGATTGTATGCAGTATCACACAAGGGGGTGCTATGAATCTTTTCAGTCCTTAGGAAAAAAGGACAGGAAAATGTTTAAATTCCTTAAGCTGCTAAAGAGTAGAAATCATACATAGCTGAAGTGTGGACATGCATTAGCAAAATCAGTGATATTTCAAGTTGTCTGATATACTGTGTTCTTGATTGTGTCCCAATATTCTGTTCACACTTCAGTAATTACATGCATTTAATACATTCCTGAAGTAAAACAACAGTGATCATCCAGTGAGAAAGAAATATTGCCATCCTGTACAGTTTCTCTTTCTCCTCTTCCTCTCTAGGTAATGGAAAGCAAATTAATGTAGGTGAAATATTGTGCCATTTAGTTAAACATCTGTTTTACTGTTGATTCCTCTATTCCTATGCACAAGACTGCATCAAAAAACAAAACAAAACCCAACAGAATAACCCTTTAGCTGCTGCTATGCCTGTCCCTATTCTATATGAACCTCAGTAATATTTTTCAAAGGTTGTTGCATTCAAGGACCTAAACTAAAGTTTCGTGAATCTAAAGCTTGGCCTAATCTAAATAATCTAAAGCACTGGCAAACAATGGACTGCAGGACAGATCCCATCAGCACAGCCATTTGATCTGGCCTACAGATGTGGGGCTTCTGTGGCATTCAGTGGCAAGGGGGGCCCAGCAGCAGCAGCTTTCCCCTGACACCACAGAGAAAAGCAACAGCAGGTTTCCTCATGCTGCTGGTGAGAAAAGCAGGAGCAGCAGCTGGATCCTAGTGCTTGCCCCACTGTCGCCCATCTCTTACCTCAGTCTATCCAGCCCACAGCCTTAAAAGATTGCTGACCATGGCTTTAGGATATATTCCCTTTGTATATTTATGGGGTTTTTTCCCCCTTC